CACACAGGTGCCCACACCAGCCGAGAAACTTTCCCCAAAACGGTCCCCGTTGCATTGACGTTTAAGGCCCTTAAAGCCCCGTAAACTCGTAAAAAATCCGTAAATTCGCCCTTGTACGGCCAAAAACGGGCGCTAGGGTAAAAATGGGTATCAATCGAAAGCTCTTGTTTACCCAGACACAGTCTTGCAGGAAAATTCCACTTTTTCCCCATAGGAAAGTTTTTACGGGAAAATCAAAATTTCGGGTCAATGGGGGGTCCCCCCCGATTTCGTTCAAAATCGGCACACAGGTGCCCCACCACCAGCCGAGAAATTTTCCCCAAAACGGTCCCCGTTGCATTGACGTTTAAGGCCCTTAAAGCCCCGTAAACTCGTAAAAAATCCGTAAATTCGCCCTTGTACGGCCAAAAACGGGGCGCTAGGGTAAAAATGGGTATCAATCGAAAGCTCTCGTTTACCCAGACACAGTCCTGCAGGAAAATTCCACTTTTTCCCCATAGCAAAGTTTTTAAGGGAAAATCAAAATTTCGGGTCAATGGGGGGTCCCCCCCGATTTCGTTTTAAATCGGCACACAGGTGCCCCACCACCAGCCGAGAAACTTTCCCCAAAACGGTCCCCGTTGCATTGACGTTTAAGGCCCGTAAAGCCCCCTAGACTCGTAAAATCCGTAAATCGCCTTTGTACGGACAAAAAAGTGGTGCTATGGTAAAAATGGGTATCAATCGAAAGCTCTCGTTTACCCAGACACAGTCCTGCAGGAAAATTTCACTTTTTCCCCATAGGAAAGTTTTTACGGAAAATAAAACTTTCCTATGGGGAAAAAGTGAAATTTTCCTGCAGGACTGTGTCTGGGTAAACGAGAGCTTTCGATTGATACCCATTTTTACCCTAGCGCCCCGTTTTTGGCCGTACAAGGGCGAATTTACGGATTTTTTACGAGTTTACGGGGCTTTAAGGGCCTTAAACGTCAATGCAACGGGGACCGTTTTGGGAAAGTTTCTCGGCTGGTGGTGGGGCACCTGTGTGCCGATTTTGAACGAAATCGGGGGACCCCCCATTGACCCAAAATTTTGATTTTCCCGTAAAACTTTCCTATGGGAAAAAATGGAATTTTCCTGCAGGACTGTGTCTGGGTAAACGAGAGCTTTCGATTGATACCCATTTTTACCATAGCACCACTTTTTTGTCCGTACAAAGGCGATTTTACGGATATTTTACGAGTCTAGGGGGCTTTACGGGCCTTAAACGTCAATGCAACGGGGACCGTTTTGGGGAAAGTTTCTCGGCTGGTGGTGGGGCACCTGTGTGCTGATTTTGAACGAAATCGGGGGGACCCCCCATTGACCCGAAATTTTGATTTTCCCGTAAAAACTTTCCTATGGGGAAAAAGTGGAATTTTCCTGCAGGACTGTGTCTGGGTAAACGAGAGCTTTCGATTGATACCCATTTTTACCCTAGCGCCCCGTTTTGGCCGTACAAGGGCGAATTTACGGATTTTTTACGAGTTTACGGGGCTTTAAGGGCCTTAAACGTCAATGCAACGGGGACCGTTTTGGGGAAAGTTTCTCGGCTGGTGGTGGGGCACCTGTGTGCCGATTTTGAACGAAATCGGGGGACCCCCCATTGACCCAAAATTTTGATTTTCCCGTAAAAACTTTCCTATGGGAAAAAAGTGGAATTTTCCTGCAGGACTGTGTCTGGGTAAACGAGAGCTTTCGATTGATACCCATTTTTACCATAGCACCACTTTTTTCCGTACAAAGGCGATTTTACGGATATTTTACGAGTCTAGGGGGCTTTACGGGCCTTAAACGTCAATGCAACGGGGACTGTTTTGGGGAAAGTTTCTCGGCTGGTGGTGGGGCACCTGTGTGCCGATTTTGAACGAAATCGGGGGGGACCCCCCATTGACCCGAAATTTTGATTTTCCCGTAAAAACTTTCCTATGGGGAAAAAGTGGAATTTTCCTGCAGGACTATGACTGGGTAAACGAGAGCTTTCGATTGATACCCATTTTTACCCTAGCGCCCCGTTTTTGGCCGTACAAGGGCGAATTTACGGATTTTTTACGAGTTTACGGGGCTTTAAGGGCCTTAAACGTCAATGCAACGGGGACCGTTTTGGGGAAAGTTTCTCGGCTGGTGGTGGGGCACCTGTGTGCCGATTTTGAACGAAATCGGGGGGACCCCCCATTGACCCAAAATTTTGATTTTCCCGTAAAAACTTTCCTATGGGGAAAAAGTGGAATTTTCCTGCAGGACTGTGTCTGGGTAAACGAGAGCTTTCGATTGATACCCATTTTTACCATAGCACCACTTTTTTGTCCGTACAAAGGCGATTTTACGGATATTTTACGAGTCTAGGGGGCTTTACGGGCCTTAAACGTCAATGCAACGGGGACCGTTTTGGGGAAAGTTTCTCGGCTGGTGGTGGGGCACCTGTGTGCCGATTTTGAACGAAATCGGGGGGACCCCCCATTGACCCGAAATTTTGATTTTCCCGTAAAAACTTTCCTATGGGGAAAAAGTGGAATTTTCCTGCAGGACTGTGTCTGGGTAAACGAGAGCTTTCGATTGATACCCATTTTTACCCTAGCGCCCCGTTTTTGGCCGTACAAGGGCGAATTTACGGATTTTTTACGAGTTTACGGGGCTTTAAGGGCCTTAAACGTCAATGCAACGGGGACCGTTTTGGGGAAAGTTTCTCGGCTGGTGGTGGGGCACCTGTGTGCCGATTTTGAACGAAATCGGGGGGACCCCCCATTGACCCGAAATTTTGATTTTCCCGTAAAAACTTTCCTATGGGGAAAAAGTGGAATTTTCCTGCAGGACTGTGTCTGGGTAAACGAGAGCTTTCGATTGATACCCATTTTTACTTTAGCGCCCCGTTTTTGGCCGTACAAGGGCGAATTTACGGATTTTTTACGAGTTTACGGGGCTTTAAGGGCCTTAAACGTCAATGCAACGGGGACCGTTTTGGGGAAAGTTTCTCGGCTGGTGGTGGGGCACCTGTGTGCCGATTTTGAACGAAATCGGGGGGGACCCCCCATTGACCCAAAATTTTGATTTTCCCGTAAAAACTTTCCTATGGGGAAAAAGTGGAATTTTCCTGCAGGACTGTGTCTGGGTAAACGAGAGCTTTCGATTGATACCCATTTTTACCTCTTTGTGACGTCATTTCTAGGGGAAAACGGGTCATAAAGGTTTCCCTCTACCGGGGCCTTTTTTCCCCCTACCGAATCTGTGCTGTGCTGAATCTGTGCTGAATCTGTGCCAACTTCCGTTACATAGCAGCACGTCAGCCGAAATTCAAAGTGGCTCGAAAGTGGCGCATGTAAGTCAAAGCGCTGCTTTATAGTGCAGGTGGTTAGTTTTTATATACGATGTTTTTGACGTATTTTGTATTTAATATTTTTCACGAAAGATAGCAATTATTTCTTTTTCATGGCGCAATGTGCGAGTCAGGCTGAAAACAGTACATACAAATCGAAATGCCAGCACCGCCTCAATTATCAATCCTGTAATTTGTTTCTAAAGCCTCGGCAAATAAATCTCAGAAATATAATGTAACGGAAGATAGTCGTTGAAAAAAGCGCGAAAATGCTACCACTCCTCAAGTCTCAACCCTATCTGTCGAGCGCCATCTTTGGCTGACGTTTCCTGTCAGCCGATTATGAACAAGCCCATCAGCAGCGCGGTGTGGGCGGGGCTTATTCTCGGCTGACAAAGTTCTGTCAGCCGATTCCGACCAGGCCTATTAACTTTTTTGAAGGTGGGATGGTCCCTTTAAACTGTAGCAGTCTTGCATATACCGTGGCTGAACATTCGCATGTCGTTATGAATGAAGTGGCGGTCTCGGACATGGGCTTGTTGATTTTTTTTGTCGGTGTGTTTGTGTTCCTTCTTCCCAAGGCAGTCATGGGTATATCCTTCAGCGCCCTGGGTATATCATATCTACTTCCTATGTGGGGCGCGGGAAACTGTTTCGATTCGAAAAGCACCTTGTTTGCAACTTCAACTTGCGTGGATTTAACCCGCGAGTTGCTGGGGGGGGGGGCGTTAAACGCCCCCACTTTTTTCGCCGGGCCATAGCATAAAGGCGCGCCAAATTTTGGGTACCTGTAGGGAATTGATTGAAGTCTATTGTGACAAAATTAAAAAAAAAATCGGTCGGAAAAATTTTGAGATATCGAGGTTTTAGTGACGTCATGATTTCTGAGTTTTCGACCAAAAACGGCATATGTTCAAAAACATATAAAATCACAGAATAGACATACAGACATGCCGTAAACGGCATTAGACTGCCAATACCATGAACAATCAAATGGCTATCTTCGATTATTGATTATCGTTTCGCATTTGCCAAAATCTTGATCTGAATCTTGGCAATTTCTCGTGACTACTTCACGACCATGATACATACATTTCTTAAATTGAACTTTTTGAGCCAAACACGTACACATATGATAAAATGAATGTCACCATCGTGTTCTACGCCCCAAATTACCCATAAAGCATGTGTCACAGGCTGCGAATATCAGTTTTGATTTTCGGGGATATGTGCCTACCCGGTTGACCTGACCTTGACCCTGACCTACGCTTGACTGACCCCTACATGGGGCTGACACTCTTGTAGGCCTTATATGATGGATTGTGCACCGTTTTGACAGAGTTTATGACGAGAGGCGCTAATTGCGAAGTCCTGAAGTCCATGCTACTGAAAGCCCGATTTCAGGTGTTTGACCTGACATTGACCCGACCTGTGACCTCAAAATTCAACTTTAAAGTACTCATCTGAAGCGTCTCGTCGCGTTCTTTCGTTTGCCGCCTCGTGCGTTTCGCTGCGCCTATTGGTTCTCGAGTTATCGGCTGGGGGCGTTTAACGCCCCCCCCCCCCCCAGCAAACGGTGGGTGGCGAAATACCCCAGCAACTGCCGGGTTAACTTTGGCATTGCTATCTCAGCATAGTTAACCGTTTCTATTATTCCCTTCACTTTCAGACTGTCGGTGAGGCAGATGCAACTCAGCCAGGCATGGCCCAGCCTGGTTACCAGGTCCAGAAATGTGTGAGTGAGGGTGACAATTCAGGACTGTGAGGTGCCCACTGTACATGCCCTTCTCAAGCTGCGTTGACCTGTGACCCTGCCAACGAGCACACCGAAGTAAACGCAACCGAAATGTTGAGAGGGGCCGACCTCACGGACAAACTACCATCGCCTCCTGCGGGCTACGTCACCACTAACGATGTCACCAATACCTGCTGTGTAGCATCAGAAATGCCTTTAATTCAAACCGATTATAAGTGGCATACTATAACGCCTGTCCGGTCTCTTTTTCCCGACGAAATCTGCCGAGAAGTGCCAGTGTGCACGGCTCGGGCGACGCGTTTTTTGAGTCAGCCGGTTACCAGTGTCGTCGGCAACGGCGCCGACGATGTGGACCGGAGTCCGGCCAAACGGTACCAGTGTCCGTGGGAGTGGGACGACAGTGTGGATGTCGCTCTCAGTCTGGAGGCACTCTGCCTGGAGCGACCCAGGAAGCGGCTCCGCACGATCCCGCGTGTGACGGAAGAAAACGCTGATGAGGAAGGGAGCATCGACCAGAATGGGGATGCCGATCAGGAAGAGGGCACTGACGCGAAAGGCACGGATCAGGGAGAGAATGCTGTTCAGGATGAAAGCACTGCTCAGTCTCAGGAACGGAACACCGGTCTGGAATGGGACTCAGGTGAGGAACGTAGCACCGGTCAGAAATGTAGTGCCGATAATGAAGGCAACCCAATTCAAACAGAGAGTGTCGACGAGAAAAGATGGCCGTTGCAAATGGACGCAAAGTGTTTTGAGGCTGGGCCAGAAAAGGCTGAGGCTTGCGCGGCAGCGTGTGTTATCGCTCCTGGCGACTTACATCCGGGTGATAAGCAGCTCATTGATGATACAGAGGTGTCGTCTTCTTCCAGTCAGAAATATCGCCAATCTCAGCTGAATATCGCTGGGAAAAGTACGGGTCTCGATTTATGGATAGATCGAGTAAATGAAGCTCCCGACAGCGGCACAGAACATGACTTTGCGATGTTCCTGTCCCAACAGATGGCAAAGACGCGTATTTCCGACCTGAGAATCTTCCCCGCGTCACAACCTGCCGGTGCTAATGGATTTAACAAATCTTCGTCGCATACAACGAATCATCTGTTGCAAGACTCACCCTACCAGTCACCATCACCACATCCAGCAAGTGTCCAATGCCTGAACGGCTGTGAATCATTTCTAAACGATTCCCCTGCGGCCATGTGTGCGAACATTCCTGAACCGTCTCCACCGGACCGCACCGACTCACCCATCGGCTCGCGAAATCCGAGTCCGTCTCCGGAGAGCGGCAGAGACGACCCTGTGTCTCCGCGGACCGTCAGTCACCTGGCGGAGGTGGTTTCCGCCGCACTGGCAGCCCAGTGTTCCAGCCGCGAGCCGGGCCTGCGCCGCAGTCACGCCGAGCAGGGCTGGTCACCGGGCGAGCCGCGGTCCCCGGGTCCGTCCGAGTCCGGCAGCGCAGACGGACGGTACGACGGCTCGCAGATCCGCTACAGCCAGGCAGACACAGTGCCGTGCTCCCCGAACGGCAGGCCCGACTTCCTGACCCGTGTGTTCAGTGGACGAACCGAGTCTGAGGCCGCGAGTCTGGCGGGGGCGGACACTCAACTGTCGTGCCAGACAGCAGAAGAGATGGGTCCGTCAAGTCGCGCCGAAATCGAGCTAAACGTATGTACTATCGTGCCAAACGTATCCACTCCAATACTGAGCATTCGTCCGTCAAGCCCACGTATAGAGGATGCTCGGTTTTCGGAGACCGGTGCTGACGAGCCAACGTCGGTCATCCCGCCTAGTTCGGCGGAGACTCAGCAGAGCCTTTTGGGCCGCGAGGAGAGAGCTCTGTCGCGCGACGAGTCGGGGTCGGACAGTGCGACCCATCGGTCGGACCAGTCCGGACTGAGCGGCTACATCGGCCGACTGGTGGACGGCCTGGAGGGCTCCCCGCCCTCACGGCAGGGACGGGACACCGCCGACGCCACGGGTGAACCACTGCTGGGCGTCGGCGGCGCACATACGATCAGCGGCGAGATACCATACGCTGGAGAGGTAAGTCGTTCACCGTATGCGTCGATCTCAGAATATTATAACAGACTTGAGAGTACTATTCTTAGGGAACATGTTTTTGTTAGAAGCTCAGCACGATACGCTTATTGTCTTATTATAAATTGCCGACGGTAATGAAAAATTGTTTGTGCGTCGTATTTGCCAACTCCATGCTTAAATTGGTTCATTTCATTATAATCACATAATCATGCTGCTCGACAGACCACAAGTCACAACATAATTTTTTTTTTCATCAGTGTACCGGCCGGGTTGGATTGTGCATTTTAGTGGAGAAATGCAAGCTCGGAAATCGAACCATTTCGCAGGCCAGCATTATGATCGTCGGGGCCGGTACTAATGAATGAAGCAGTAGAATACCTACCATTATTGAAATTATTATGCCGATTCAATTAATATATCATTCATTTATTACCGATACCGGATACGTTATGAACGTTAAGCTAGTCTTGAGGTCCAGGAGCCCTGTGTTTGTTTGCAGCAATTTCCGCCCACCGAGTCGGAGGAGCCGTCGCCCCGGTCGCCCATCCCGCCGCTGTGCCACGAGCAGCGGCTGCAGCTGCTGCTGGCGAGCGGGCTGGACACGGTGTCCGACCGCGGCGCGGCGGCACACGCCACGCCGACCGCGTCGCAGGAGGTGGAGATCGTTGCCGACCTCGGCCCCAGCGCGGGCTCCGCGGTGTCGGCGTCAGTCACCGTCTCCCGGCCGACTGGCGAGCGGTCCGGGCCGGCGCAGAGCACCCAGCGGGACCCGCTGACGCCGCCGGCGGCGCTGGAGGATGGGCTCGGCACCTGCGGTCTGTCCCCGGTACTGGAGGAGGAAGAGCCGTCTCCGTCAGTGGCCGCTGTGTCTGAGTTTAACACGGACCAGTCACGCTCGGAGACGGACAGCGATGTGCTCAACGATGCCAGGCTCCTGTCGCTGACGGCAGACAGCTCGTCGGACCCGCCTGCTCTGGCCGCTGCCAGCTCGTCGGACCCGCCTGCCCCAGCCGCTGCCCCTACTCCTGCCGTTCCCGTTGCAGACTTTCAGGGAAACGCAATCACCGGAGACCAGGGTAGAACGAGCCATCGCGAGGAAGCTCAGAGCAGCGACGAATCGGATGGTGTGCGTGAAACGCGTACAGAGTCGGATCAGTCATGTGGGTATGTGACAGACGAGTGCGCCGGTGACCTTTTCTCCGGCGAGAGTGAGAGTGACTACAGCTGCTCCCCGAGTGATACGGAGTCGGACCGAGCGGATATTGTCCCTCCGGTGCCGGCCGACTCGCTGTCCCGTCCGTCTGGAGGCGCTTCGGTGCCACGAGACTCGAGCGCGGCCTCCCGGTGCGTGTTGGCCGGCTCCGCTCGGGATGACGAGTCGCCCGCCGTCGCTGAGGCGACTGCTCCCCTGGACCTCTCTCCGTTCAGACCCTGTGTCGCCACTGACCCTGCCCCGGCGGCTGCAGTCCAACCAGCAGCCCTCTGTTCGGATCAACCGCTGGACGAAACAAAGTGCACCATACCGGTCAACGTCAGTGCCAACCCGGGACCGACGGGACACAGCAGCCCGGGATCAAACAGACTCCCCGGCCTGCGGTCAGGGCAGTCCGGCCGGTGACCCTGCCGACCGGGAGCCGCCGAGCCCGTCGCTCAGTCTGGGCAGCGGTTCAGTGGCGAGTGGCGGCCGCTCTCCGGCCCGGCCCGCCGCCGCAATGCCCGACAGTCCCGGCTCGGAGGTCAGCTCCGAGGGGCTGGCAGCCAGCCGCAGCAGCGAGGATCTTTTCCTGGGAGGCGCCGGTCCGCCGTCCCCGCTGGCAGCAGAGGAGGGCCTGCCCGTGTGCGCCACCCAGCCGTTCCGGCCCTCGCTCGGTCTCGGCCCCGCTGGAGGTAAGTGGACTTTGGTGGGTGGACGGCGAGACATGTGGTGTATCGGTCTAAACTCATTTCACAATTTTCACATTGCTCATTTATCACTCTTACGCTAATTTCGTTAATAGATTGTTATAGATCAGTGTGACTATTGGTCTATTTCTGTGTTCTATAGTTGTAGTGAGCTGCTCGCTGCATCGCAATTTCGTCACATAATGCTAGCTACTAAACCCACCGCATTAGTCCAGCGATATGGACAGGTTTAGCTACACATTTTTGTGTACACATTTTACCGGCAAGCCTCTCATATGTGCAAAAAAAACTTGAACAATTCCTACCACCCTGCATGCTCATTATGTAATGAACATTGCTTTCTATCAACGAAACTGTGAATTTGTCTATCACAAATAACAGTTACGTTCTTTCAATAGACAGGCGAGCAACATGTTCAGATACAAATAACGCCTACAAATAGTATGCTCAGAAAAATTGGAAGTAAATACCCAATACTTGATTAACTGCCAACTGGTCTGGTCTGGTCTGACTGTTGAGTGTAGGGTGGTGACGTGTGCTCTGATCCGGTCTGGTCTGATTTGGTCGGATGGTGTTGCAGATGGCGGCTGGCTGGCAGACAGGCAGGACGCTCGTCGGGCGCGGCGCGGCTGGCCGACCGTCTCACCAGCCGCCCCTCAGTCCCGGACGTTGCCCTCGGGTCAGTTACGGGACTGTGACCGCACCGCGGAGACGGGAATACTTTGTGAAGTGCCGTGTGTGCCTGCCGTGGAACCGGTAGTGGTTATTGACAGTCGACTAGCCGGATAGTAGGGGAGACCCGGGAGGTATGGGCCGGTTTTGTAAAAAGACAATTTTCTTCCAGTGGGCAGTGGCTAGACCCGGTTTTTCACTCTGCGTCCGTGAAATTTCCTTTCGCCTATTAAGTGTGCCTGATATTAGGCATCTGGGACCAACTATTTTGTCTCGAGATAACTTTCAATAAATCATGCACTTTTTGATCCACCAAAATACACCGGGAGGCGGTGACGCTAACTTCACGGACATGGGCGGGAGGTATGGGCCACGGCCCGTGAGGTATGGACCGGTGCCATGTTTCATATTCTTTTCTCGACAATGAGAACAATACTCGTAGCTGGTATACCTTGATCTCTCTTAGAGCCCAGGAACCGCATGAGCGGCCAACAGCTTACTTCATGGAGGTCACTACGGCACATATGTATGTCTTTCTCTTTGGGTAAATTCAATCATGCTCCACGAAATAAGATTAATAATATTTTTCTGTTCGAATGAAATTAGTAGTTAAATTTTCGACCTTGCGTGACAAAAATGAAACTTATTGAAGAGGACATTTAATGAAAGCATCATTTCATTGATTTAGGATCAACGGGGGTCGGTGGCCCGAACCTCACGGTTAGGACGCCAGAATGTGTGTAGCATCTCAGCTCATAATCTTGCCAAAAAGCTTCAAATTGTCTATACCCAGTCTAAATTTGCATGCTTTAAACTTTATGTCAGCGATGGTCTGACATAATAAAACGAGCCTGGTTCAAATTTATCACGAATTTTCTGTATGTACCGTAATTTACTCGAAGAGGGCAAAACACTTTATTATCGCTCATTGCCAAAGAAGACCGAGGAAGATTTCGGAAATCACGTGGGTTGTATAACGGAATGGCTGCTACCAGTTTACGCGGCCAAATGTGTAAAAATACGCAACACTTCTTCAAAACTGCGATGGCCCATACCTCCAGGGGGCCCATACCTCCTGGGTTTCCCCTACGTATGTACAGTTGAATACAGAACTTGGTGTTCCACTTTTCACAGGCAATCAGCTGCCTTGAGTGGCAGGCTGTGCCGCATCACACGGGCTAAGCGACACAATATCCGTTTTCACGACGGGCTATCCGGCGAATGCACCTAATTTGACCAAATCTGCACCTAATCTCCTTTACAGCAAATATCTTCATTTTATGAATTTATTTCAGTGTTTTAATCGATGATACCTCTGATAATATGACAAAGGCATATAAACAATTAGTGCAACCCTATCTGATAGCTACTAAGAGACACGCTGAACCTAATTTGAACAAATCTGCACCTAATCTGCACCAAATGTGTACCAGATGGCCGTCGTAAAAACGGCCAATATGCTATGACCCAACGCTCACTTCCCATTGACACGCTTATAGATTGCGCGATAAACGGCCTCAACTTAGCGTTCCAGTAAATAATTGATAGCTTCTGAGGAGTGGAACATCATTTTGAAGTCAGCTGTGCGTTGCATATCTGTCTGCCGAT